GGTGGAGGGCGGGGCGGGGCTGAGGGCGCTCTACAAGGCGCTTCTCGCGTGAGCCAGCTGCGGTGATGATTCGGCGTGTGAGAAGCGCAATGGGCGGCCGCTTGAGTGCAATGTTGGGTGCTCATGTAACGAGCTGGGCGATGGCAGCTTACTGAGGTGCCGTGTCGGGCGGGCGCGGCTCGCAAAACGGCCATGCAACAGCGTTCCAGGTGTGCTGCCGGTCTGACGGGTGTCGCAGGGTGAGGGGCCGGCCACGGGACGTGGGGGGCGGGCAGGCGCAGAGGTGCGTGGACTGAGGGCTTGCCCGCCAAAACCCTTGCGCGCAGTGTGCAGCAGCTGGATAATCTTGCAGCGCCCCCCTCCCTACCCTTGACACTACATTTTGCAAGCCGCTCCAACTATGCGATGCCAGATTCTGCCAGGGAAAGTCCCTGGGCTGGAACACAGCAGGCTTCAGTTGCTGGACTGGCACCCCCCCCCCCTGGGTGCAATGTTGCACGGTGCCACTCCAGCATGGTCAGGAACGTCATTTACTTTGAAACTTCACGCTCAGCTCACTTGATGTCTGAAAGTGTCCCAGCGCGCTGGAGGCAGTCTCGCTTGGTGGTTTCGTCACACGAAATGATCTGCAATGTATGTACCCAACAATGCGCCGAGAATTGTTGATGTAGCTCTGCTGAAGGTGCGTAATGGTAGCCTGTGTGAGTGCCAACGGGTGGCTGCATGGCGCTTGGCGCACCAGTACTAGCAGCGCGTGCGTCGGCGCAATGGAGGCTGACACCGATCATCCCACTTTGTGGCGCGCCCACTCGCACCACCACTGACACAGGCCTGCCGCAGCGGCGACGATGCCGCTGCGCGACAGGCGCTCGCTGCCGGCGCCGACCCGAACGCCCGGGACCCCGGCAGCCACAAAACACCGCTGATGCTGTCCGCGGCAGCGTCGCCCGCGTGTCGCCCAGGTCCGACGACGGCAGTGCTGACCTTGATCGCAGACCTGGTTGCAGCCGGGACGCGCGTGCGCGCGTCAACACCTGACGGGCTCACTGCGCTCCACGCCGCGGCAGCGGCCGGCAGCGCGCCTGCCGTGCGCGCTCTGCTCACGCACGGTGCGTCCGCGGCGGCCCCGGACGCGGCAGGCGCGACGCCGCTGCACTGCTTAGCGTGCGGCCGCCATGGCAGCGGCAGCAGCAGCAGCAACAGCAGCAGCAATAGGATGAGCTTTGCCCACGCAGACGCAGCCGAGGACGTCGTTTCGGCGCTGCTAGGCGCGGGCGCCAGCATTCACGCGCGCGACCGCGAGGGGCGATCCCCCATGGACCTGGCTTGCGCCGCCGGCGGCGACCCGGCGGCCGCCTTTGCCCTGTATGCCGCCGGCGCGCCGCCGCCGGTCGGCGACGTCGGCTCCGCGCTGGCGGCCGGCTTCATGGATCTTATAGAGTCGAATTTCGACGAGGCAAACCGCCTGGACGCGATTTTCGAGGCGCGGCGGGGGCGCGTCGAGCGGCTTGAGACGGTGCTGCCGGGGCTGCGGCAGCTGCTGGTCTCTGGGTCCACGGCGCTCATGGCTGCCGAGCGGCGGGAGGCGGCGGCGGCTGCGGCGGCGGCGGCGGGCGGCGGCGGGGGCAGCGAGCTGGGGGTGGGCGCGGCTGAGGCGACGGCGGCGGCTGTGGGCGCAGGCGTAGCGCAGCCGAGCGTGTGATCCTGCATGCGTGTGCTCGAGAAGCAGGTGGCAGCAGGTGCCTGGCGGCATGTTGGAATGCTGGTGAACGGGCTGTCCTGTTGTGCGCAGGATGGGCCCCCTCATAATCCCTGGGGCCCAGCAGAGGGCTGGATGCTTCAAATCCAAGCACTGGCTGGCCCAAAAGCAGTGTGGATTTTGGGGGTATAAGCAGGCGGCAAGCCGCCCACGTGTCAAGGTGGGCCCCAACACGCTTTCTCCTGGTGTGGGGTGCTTGACCTGCATAGCGGCTCGCGCTCCCTGGGGCTCGCCCGGATACTTGCTGCATTGTACTTGTGGGTCACAAGTCGGTCCTCCTGCCGTTGTGCCTGGCACTCACCACCTAGGATACCTAGGGCCTGTTTTTTGGGGCAACCCGCACAGCAGCGCAGGGGTCTTACCTGTTGCTTTGGCCAAGCAGCACGCAATGTGCCCCTGCTGTGCATAAAGGGCCCGGCCCTTTGTGTTCGGGCCGAACATTCGCACTTTTACTCAGCTGCCACCTCAACACCGTGCACGTCGCAATCCCACGTTTCAACCACGGACCAGTCGTGACGGACCTGATTGTGCTTCAAACACTTGACGGCCTGGACAGCTGCGCGTGCTGGCACCACATGTATAATGCTGACATCACAGCCTCGCTGGATCGGGCCGTGCCACCACACTAGCTATGACAGGTGTAAAACGCACAGCATCTGAGGAGTCACTGCATGAGATGGTCACCAGGAAGTCAGCGTGACAGTGCAAGCCCACTGGTCTCATGGTCAGCCGGGGGTTTCGGCAGTTCTTAAGCGTGATGGGCAAGTCTGCGAATTGCATCTTCAACATGACAAGGAAATTTTTCCTAAATATGCCCAAATGCTGCCCCTATAACCTTGAAATGCTGACAAAGTGACAAGTGCCTCCGTCAGCTGCAATGTTGCAGATGATCTGAACAGTCTGATGAACCATGTCAAGTTGTCAACTTCAATTTCAGAGGTTGCCTTATCCATGCGCACAGAACACCAACCACTATCATTATACGCAGGAAGCACCATTATCCACTGAGCCGAGCCCACACCACTTGCCGTGTAGATGCCGTTCGACGGCTGCCGGCGCTAACATATTAGTAAACCAACTTCGTAATTAATTGCGCTCATGCAACGCAACGTGTCTTGCGCGGCGGAGCAGCGGTGGAACCCCGCAGCATGCTCGACCAGCGGGCGTGCCGCTGCTGCTGCCGCCTCGCCGATAGCCTGGCCCCGCGCCAGCCCTCGCCTCCGGCGAGCCGCCGCAGCCGCCGCCGGCATGCGGCATCATCAGGAGCAGCATGCGCCCGGGCGTGGGCCCTCGCTTTCGCGCGCGTCGGCTGATAGCGGGCACCCCATGTTCAGCATCAGCGTGAACGACGCGACGCTGTCCCTGGGGCGCGCGGCGCAGAAGCGGCAGGTGCTCAAGGGCGTCAACCTGCAGGTGGGATAAGAAGATAGGGCTTCGTCAGGTTGAAAGTGCTCCGCCGCCGACGCCGAGACAGCAGCGAAAGGGGGGGAGGGGCAGCAGTGAGAGCAGCGGCAGCAAGCTTGGCGTGCTATTGAGAGCCCTCTCATCGCCGTTGGGGCGCCGTGCCCGCCCACAATGTTGCGGCGCCGGCCCCACAGCAGCTCCGTGCGCGCCACCGCCCCCGGACCCTCCCCCAAAGGTCCAGCGCGGCAGCCTGCACATGCTGCTGGGCCCCAACGGCTGCGGCAAGTCGACGCTGCTGCGCGTGCTCGGCGGCCTGTTGCAGCTGGACGGCGGCGGCGTGGAGGCAGACGCGCCCTCGGGGTTTGTGTTCCAGAACCCAGATCACCAGGTGGTGATGCCCACGGTGGCTGCTGACGTGGCGTTTGGGCTCGGCAGGTGGGCGGACGCGAGCTGTGACACGGGACAAGTTGGAATGCGGGGCTTTTGAATGTTGTGTGTGTGTGTGTGTGAGAGAGCGTGAGTGTGCGCGTGTGTGTGCGTGTGCGTATGTGTGTGTGTGTGTGTGTGTGTCTGCGTGTGCGCGCATGTGTACATCAGTTTTTGCATGTGAGTTTGCGTGAGTGCATGCGGGGGACAAGAGCGGGACTACGTACAAAAATCGATGGAAAGGCCGGTGCGGTCCACTGGTTGCTCACGGCCCCAGCAGCAAGCACCTTCACTGTCCTGCCCCTTGGTGGCTGCCAAGAGGTGCGACGGGCGTCCCACGCGCGCGCGCGCGTGCGCGCGTGTCCCTCGCACCCGCGGCCCCCACATCCCCCAGGTACCGCCTGCGGGAGGCGCAGGTCGCAGCGGCGGTGGAGCGCGCGTTGACCCTGGTCAACATGGCGGAGTTCACGCACCGCGCGACGCACACGCTGTCGGGCGGCCAGCGGCAGCGCGTCGCCATCGCAGGCGCGCGCGCGCGGGGGGGGGGGGGG